CTAGAATACAATTAAACACGAAGTGCCTGTCTAAGCACCCGAGATCATTCCACAGATAAATAAGCAAATCCTAGTCAGGGCCGTCAAGGAGCACATTGTTTAGCAGGGTGAAACACATGCAAGCTTTATGCTAGGAAACAATTCGATGCATACTTTTCTTGAGGTATACACAGAGTGGCTTGTAAACAGAAGACAGCGACTAACAAGCTGCAGGGGCTGAGGTTTCAGAGAATTAACAGAAGTTTGGTGGGACGGGTGTAGGTGATGAAGCAAGGCAGGACCAGGGGACACTGAAAACTGAGGTTCTCCCCTGATGCTCAAATCACTGGAGGTACCAGGGAGTGAAGCCGAAATTAAACATTTCAAATAGGTGACATCCTAACTGTGCCTTGCTTGATTAACATATGCGTTTGGTATACACTTAGATGGGAGGTGAAAAGACCCTCTGGACATCTTCCTGCAAGTGAAAAGTCTCAGTTATGGAGATCGTAATGCAGAGTTTTTTACAAGGCCTCTTAGTCAACCTGCCCACCCCACTCTACTTATCCTGGTGCCAAGAAACTAAGGCCAATTTTAAGAATATAAATTTAAAGAGACATTTTCCCACATAATCCTGCCTGCAACTGCATAATATTCCGAAGGGCTATGGAGTTTTCCATAGCTTCTGCACATGCTCCAGAGGTGCCCTGGCCCAGACCCCAGGCCACAGCAGTGGTCCCAATGGTCATTTCTCATTGTTTCTCCTCATTAATGATTGTTATGAATGGAGAGAGGAAACTTTCTGGAACATGAAACTCCTCTTTCAATACAAAAAAGAAAAACATTTTGGTGTACTTTCTTCTGGTTAATAAAAAGATTAATTTTTTTCTATTTAATAGAAAGAAAAGCTTTTGGCTAAAGGTGGCAGAATCTCCTCTTCCTTTGAGAGCCCTTCAAAATTATTTAAATGGAATGAAAAAAAAAAAAACCCCAAAACCCACAAAGTCAAAAAGAGAGACTTCGGCAGACAAATTTTAGTAATATTTTGGAAGACAGAAAGAGGCTGGAGGAATGATAACTGCTTCAGTAACGAGGGGGAGGAAGCTGCTCTGCCCTGCAGGGCTCCAAAGAGCTAGGGAACCTGCAGGTGGCAGGCACTGCAGAGGCGAGGTGACATGTAGGACAGAAAACAAGGGGACTGGATCCAAGTCTGTATTTTCAGAAGAGGTCTTTGCCCCCTCAACTTGATTCCTATGCACAGAATGCCCAGCCAGGCATTTACTGCCCAGGAATATGCCAGATGTTTGTCCCCGGAAGAAACAGAATGGGCAGCCGCCAGATCTGGGAATAACAGATATGACAGAAAATGACAATGAGGAAAAGGGATTGTGTTTGTTTTGGAAAGATGGGAGGTGTGGAGAGGAAAGGGAGGTGGGGAGGAAGATAACGAAACTCACATCTATAATAAAAGGAAGTAATATAAGTGTTTAAAATTGATAAAGTGAGAGAGCAGTATGTTAGTTAGAAATATGGAAGTTAGCTACCAAAATAGACAGTTAAAAGAAGAAAGTGGTTGTCTCCTAATATTGAGGAGGAGAGGGAATGGGAGGAGGTGGATTAGGGAACCCTACTTTCATAATAAGCAGAGCCTCCAAACCACTAACACTTCTGAGAGCCAAAGGGGGTTGTCAGGAAGTATGCCACGGCAGTCGGCATACACTGGAATCCTCTCAGGCAAACTGGGACTGCACACACCCTAATTATAAATCCCTAGGTACTATCTGATTTCTCACAAAGTCAGTGCTCTACTTTGATATAACACCTAAGAATAGATAGGCAGTTGGCTTAATATATTTAACACTCACAATCTTACATGGAAATATAGTATTAAGGAATTCTGAGTTTCTTAACTCTTCCTGTCCCCAATCACCTAGGGCCACTAATCATCCCAACACTAAACCTTCAATGGGCATGACAGCCAGCCCCGCCTTTCAGCACAGCTCAATTACTTCATGTAGGACGGAGAATACAGGCCTGCCTGTCAAACAAGGATGTTGTGAAGATCTTCCCAGAATATTATGTAAAAGCCCCCCAGTTTAGGCAACTAACTTAAACCCACTGACACCTTTTAAATTGGGGCATAAACGTGTTCAGATTAGTTCAGTCTAGTCTGGAGGAGTCTTGGAGAACTGTGAGAATTCGAGTAAAGATATGGGAAAAAATTCATTTTCTACAAAATACATAAACTTTTGGCATTCTGTATATTTTCTGGGGGATCATGGAACATCTGAGACCCATCCATGGTTAAGAACTTCCCCTCTGGCCTTTCGTTTGGACTCTGTGAAGGGAAAGAAAAATCAGGGGCATGACCCAAGCCTAAGCACTTCATCAGATGCATTTTAAGCAGTTGCTTTTCTAAAGCAGGTAACCACAGAAGTACACTAAGGTCCATCAAACTGCAGCTGCTAACCCAATTTTTCAGAATAGAATGGTTCCTACTAAATGCACTGATGTCCCTCCTTGTTGACATAAATCTGAACCAATAGTTTCAAAAAATGCAGATTCTAGCCAAGCATCACCTTCAGGCAAATCTGAGCCATGCATGACAAGTCGGGGAATGAAATCACAAGCACCAGAAGAATTCCATTGAGATGAGGCAGAGGAAAGCACAGGTTTGCCTAATCTTAAGACCTGGAACCAGACATGTGTACATGTACGTGAACACACACACACACAACACACACAC